ATATATATAGAGAGATATAGATTTTTTTGTCATACTTGAAATATGATAAAATTATATATATATATATATATATATATATATATATATATATATATATATATATATATATATATATATATATATATATATTTTAATTAAAAATTCGTAGTATAAACCTATTTTTTTAATGTATTGTAAACCTAATCCTGGCTCCCCGAACCCTGACATTTTAGTTAGCCCCCCTACATTCTAATCCTGGCTCCGCCCCTGACCTGTATGGATGGCTTAATTAATAGAGCACAAAAGGTGTGTATGTCATTTAACCCGAGTTTGAACTGTCTTGTCAACTCTTCTTACATCAAGTTCGTCACATATAATTTATCCAATATAATTTACATGTCTCGTGTATTTCATAAGCCATTGGAGGAGAATAGAATATACCAGTAAAAAAATAACATTTTGGCTTGTAACTATAATTAAAATTGGTAACATAACAAAATTTCGATCAAATTTTGTCGATTATATCGATTATTCTATTTGTCAAATTGATAACATAAAAGAATCGAAATTGCTAAAAAAATAAAATCATTGAAATTTGTATTAATGCTGAATTTTAATTCCTAATTTTTATTATATTACCCATTTTTCATATTCAATTTACAAAAATCCATCAAATGTACAGCTACCTACCAAGTACCAAGCACCAACCCTATGAAATATTTCAATTATAAAATTATCAACTCTCACTAATTAATTAATTAATTACAACCGGAAATAGCAAAACAACAAATTTGGGCAATTGTTTACTTGGGGAAAAAGGCTGACCGTTAATGAAATTACCACGTGCTGCCATCTGGAAAAAGATATTAGAACCACCGAATACTAATTAAAATATTGTCTTAAATTTGGATTTATTGTGTGCAATTCCATGTGCGAAGGTGTAAGTACAATGAATCAACGGTTCAGAATTTAGACTCGGGAATCTCCATTTCAATGCTGCTCCAGCGATGCAGGAAAATATATGAAATTATACCCCAGAAAATATTAAATACATAAAATTTTATTAAGGGGAAACTACACATAAATCCCTAATCCAAAATTCAACTCACAGATCAGTCCCTAGGTAGTTTCCCCAAGCAATTCAGTCCCTACTCACGCGCCTAACATGCAGTTCAGTCCCTAATAAAATGTGCAAATACTAAAATACCCTTTACTTTATACTAATTTTACATAACTTATTTCCAACCTCCAATGAGCCGTTTGTGTTACACGCTCTTTGCCCGTTACATTTCAAAAATCAAACAACAAGAAAGAAGCTAAACATAGAAGAAACGAAGAACAAAGAAACAACAAAGAAGGAGGAAACAACGAAGCACGAAGAATCAACAAAACGCAGAAACATTATAAAACGAAAGGAAAAATAAAAATAAACAAACCCATTTCTCGACAATGGTGAAGCAGGGTAAACAACAAGGTTTGATTTTTTTTTTCTTTCATTTTCTTGGAAACAGACCCATTTGGGTGTTGCTTAAGCTTGCAAAAAGGTTTATTTGTTGTAGAATTGCATGATTTTGAACATATCCTCTCATGGGTATTATGCCTCGACTTTATTCGGTGTTTTCCCTAATCATTAAATCGGTTCCAATATCTGTTTTTCTGTTGATTGGGTTTGCAAAGATCATTTATTTGTTGTCGAATTTCATGATTTTGTAACAGTTTCCTCATGGGTATTATTCTTCGGTGACATTAGCATGTCCCCAAAGCATTTTGAGTCCTAACAAGGGTTTCATGGGAAAGAGGCTTATTGTAGTTTCCGTACTGGTTCTATAGTATGTGTCATGCGCAGTAATGGTATTAATAGTGCATTTAGATGGTATTGACACAGGGTACTCGAAGTACTGTCCCGAAAGAATTTAGCCCCAACAAGGGATATGTCATATGTAATAATGGCATTGCTCTTGACTTCGGACAATATTAACACAGGGTACTGGAAGTATAATCTTTGATGGTTCTGTAGTATGTGTCATATGCCACAATAGTATTACTAGTGCCTTTGAATGGTATTACTAGTGACTTTGGATGGTATTGACATGTGGAACTTTAAGTATAATGTTTGATGGTCCTGTAGTATAAGTCATATGCCATAATAGTATTACTAGTGCCTTTGAATGGTATTACTAGTAACTTTGGATGGTATTGACATGTGGAACTTTATAGTACGTTGTATTTGTTATAATTGTAGTTTTATGTGTATGTAATTGCAGGAATTGATGTAAAAGAAGATTGCAGCAAGCTATCAATAGGCTGCAGGTGCTCACCGATCGCTTTTCAAACAACCATGGAAGGTGTGAAAAAAGTGATGAAGAAACAACATTATGAAGTACTGAAGAAAAATCCCTTCTATCACTACATGGACATGCCTAAAATAACCCACAGCTTCCATAGGGTTGTGTCTCTCATGCAAGCGTACAATG